AAAAGGGTGGGCTTGGGGGATCAGGGTGGTGTGGAACAAAGAAGCCCCTGCATCAGGAGTACTCACCACTGGGACCCCAGACCCTCAGCCCCGAAGCAGGCTAAGTTGGGGGATCCAAGGACTCCTCAATGGAAAGGAGTACTTGGGGGCAACATGGTATGGGGTAAATAAAGAAAGCCAGTAGCCAGGGAGACACCATGCTGGACGGCCAGAAACATTTAGGGAATTAGAGGGGGCTTGTACCCTGTTCCTGGGACCATCTGTTCGGGTGGGGACACACTTACCACTCCAGATGATCTTCTCAGTTGAGGTGTCTTTCTTGTATGCAGCAAGGATGTATGTAAGAAGAGTGGATTCCGTTTTCTTTTTTTTATTTTTCCATTCAAAAATTTATACTTCCTCCCCTCCTCCCACCCCCATCCACTCCCCCACTCACTTTCCTCCCTCGCCCTCCCTGCTTGAGAGATGGCAGGAACCCTGCCCTGTGGTAAGTCCAAGGCCCTCCTCCCTACATCCAGGCCTAGGAAGCTGTGCATCCATATAGACTAGGGTCCCAAAAAGCCAGAACATGCTGTAAAAACAAGTTCCAGTGCCTTTATCAATGGCTTCTCAGTCAGCTCCCATTTTCAGCCACAATCAGAGAGTCCAGTTTGATCACATGCTCGTTCAGTCCCGGTCCAGCTGGATTTGGTGAGCTCCCATTAGAACAGGCACACTGTCTCAGTAGGTGGAACAACACCTCGAGGTCCTGACTTTCTTGCTCATCTTCTCCCTCCTTCTGTCCTTCAACTGGACCTTCGGAACTCAGTTCACAAGCCTAGAGAAGCCAAATAACAAGGTGAGTACAAAGAAAAACATATATAGATCCTCCTAGAAATTGGAAGCAAACAAGATTGTCAGGCAAAACTTGGGAGCATGGGGGTGGGAGCGGGGGAAGGGAAGAGGGGGAGAGGGAAGGGAGAAGGGAAAGACTGGGTAGAGTTTGTGGGAATGGGAGGGTGGAGATGGAGGAAGGGCAAATATAAGCGCAGGGAAGATGTCTATATTAAGGGATCCATTTTAGAGTTGGCAAGAGACTTGGCTCTAGAAGGGATCCCAGGTGTCCATGGGGATGTCCCCAGCTAGGTCCTTAGGCATCAGAGGAGAGGGTGCCTGAACTGTCCTTGCCCCACTATCACACTGATGATTATCTCAAATATCACCATAGAATCTTCATTCAGTGACAGATGGAGATAAAGACAGAGACCCTCATCAGAGCAACGGACTGGATTCTGTTTTCATATCCATTCTATTAGGCTGTCTGTTTATTCGTGAATTGAGTCCATTGATATTTATGAGAGATGTTATTGATCAATGATTGTTAATTCCTATTATTTTTTTGGTTTTGGTGGTTGTGATGTGTTTCTCTACTTTGGGTTGGGTTTTGCTGTTGTGAGAATATCTATTATCTGTTTTTCATGGATGTAACTTGGGTTGGGGTTTTCCATATAGTTCTTTCTGTAGTGCTGGATTTATGAATAGGTATTAAATCTGGTTTTGTCATGAAATATCTTGTTTTCAATGTCTGTGTTGATTGAAAGTTTTGTTGGGTATAGTAGTCTGGGTTGGTATCCATGGTCACTTGGTGTCTGTAAAACACCTGTCTAGGATCTTCTGGCTTTTAGAGTCTCCATTGAGAAGTCAGGTACAATTCTGGTAAGTCTGACTTTATATGTTACTTGACCTTTTTCCTTTGCAGCTCTTAAAATTATTTATTTTGTATATTTTATTATGTGACAATGGGATTTTTTCTTTGGTCCAAATTGGTGTTCTGTAAGCTTCTTGTAACTTTTATAGGCATGTCCTTATTTAGGTTGAAAAAGTTTTCTTCTACAATTTTGTTGAATATGGTTTTGTGCCTTTGAGCTGGGATTCTTTCCCTTCTATCCCTATTATTCTTAAGTTTTGTCTTTTCATGGTGTCCCACATTTCCTGGATGTTTTGTGTTAGAAATTTATTGGATTTAATATTTTCTTTGACTGATGAATCTACTTTCTCTATCCTATCTTCAATACCTAAGATTCTCTCTTCCATTTCTTCCTGTGTTCTGTGATCCTTCTATCTGTAGTTCCTGTACACTTTTCCACTTCCAGAATTCCCTTAATTTGTGTTTTATTGTTTCTACTTCAGTTTTCAAGTCTTGAATTGTTTTCCTTCACCTGTTTGTGTTTTTTTCTAGGCTTTCTTTGATTTAAGAAATTTATTGATTGTTTTCATTTTTGCTTTTTTTTTCTCAACTTCTTTAAGGGATTTTTTCATTTACTCTTTAAGAGCTTCTATCATCTTCATAAAATAATTTTTAAGTTTGTTTTCTTGTGTTTCAGCTGTATCAGAATGTTCAGGTTTTGCTGTTATAGGATCATTGGGTTCTGGTAATATCATATTGCTTGCTCTTTTGGTTGTTGAATGTATCCTCTTTTTTATTAGATTTTTACCAATCCAAATTCCGACTCCCTCTCCTCCTCCCATTCCCTCCACACACCCTCCCACCCAACCCCCATCTAATCCTAAGAGCGGGTAAGGCACATTGCTTTGTGGAAAGTTCAAGGCCCTCCCTACTACATCTAGGCTGAGTAAGGTATACACCCAAAGAAAATAGGATCCCCAAAAGCCAGTACATGCTGTAGAGATAAATCCTGGTGCCACTGCCAGTGGTCTCTCAGTCTGCCTCAGCCATACAACTGTGTTGAATGTATTCTTACACCAGTGTTTACACATCTTTTTCCAATTGATGTGGGTTTTGCCTGTGCCAGTTCTTCCAACTGTTGTGGTTTGCACCTATGTCTTTTCCAACTGGTGTGGTTTACACCTGTGCCTGTGTAGTCTGCTGGGTTGTGGGGAAGGGCTGGCAACAGAGAGCATGCTCAGGTTCTTGGAGTTGGGCAGCAGAGTAAATCTTGGTGAGACAACCTCTGGTGGGTAGCAGTGATGGGGGTGCAGCCTGAAGGCAGGTATCTCACCTGCTTTCAGGTTTGTGTGGACTTATGTCTTTTATTTTTGCATTTATTTATTTTGTGTATTTGTATGTTCATGTGTCACAAATGTAGAGGACAGAGGATAATCTGAAGGAGTCAGTTCTTTCTTTCTATTATGTGTTCTATGGGAATCAGACTCAAATTGTCAGGCTTGATGCTAAGTGCCTTTAACTAGTAAGTCATCTTTTAGTCCATGTCTGTCTTTTGGCAGATGAATTTAATCGTTCCATTTAAAGCACATATATACAAGGATCATGCACTGTGGTTTTGATTCACACCTATAATGCAACATTTATATATTATATGTAATAATCAAGTGTCACACATAACAGAATAAGTAAATCACCATAGAAAAAGTTACAAAATAAACAGCACTTAAAAAGTCAATACTCTTTCATGATAGTCTCAACAAATTTAATATATAGATGACATACACAAATTTATCAGTGACTATATATGTTTGAAAAGTCAGTGGCAATCAACACACTCAGTGAAAACTCCAGAGCTTTTCCTTTAAAATCAAGAACAGTATACCTGCTTGGAACTTATATCCATCATAATACTGCAGGTTGAGCCAATTAAGTAAGAAAGAGAAATAAAATTCATCTAAATAAGAAAGATAAAAATGTTTACATGTATTAAATGTAATTAATGGCAGATTAAATTCATCTGCCATCATTTTGAATAAAATAAACACTGGTAGAGCTATCTGGAAAACAGTATTAAAGCTCCTCATAAATAAATATTTATATGCCAACTAAATAATCCAACAAACTAATTATGGGCATACACTCAAGGAATGCTTACAGAGATATTTGCAATCTATGTTCAATGTAGCAGTTCAATTTGTTTCCAACAATTGAGTATGGAAATGACCTAAATGTTCCTTTGTGTAAAGAAACTTTCATAAGGGCTGGGAAGACGAGAAACTGACTCTGTCTTAAGGTGGAAGTCAAGCATGGAATCCAAGGTTTTCTTGACCTCTACATGCACACTATAGAGCCTACACTCATAAACAGAGATACATGCAAACACACATCACATATATACATGCATACATAAATTTTGAGTGTGCATAAAACATAGACAGCCTACCCTCTGTTTAAAAAATTCTTCATGCAAGACAACAGAGATAAAACTAAAGATATTTTGTTATAAAAATAAACCAGACACAAAAACTAAAAATACATTATGATATTCAAATATGGAGTGTAGCTGGGCGAAGTGGTATATGCATTTAAACCTAACACTTGGGAGGCAGATGATCTCTGTGAGTTCAAGGCCGGGCTGGTTTACTTAGTGAGTTCCAGGACAGTCAGAACTACATAGTGAGACCCTGTCTTTAAAAGAGGGGGATATAGTCAAACAGAAGAAAAGTGTAGTTGTGGTTATCAAGAGATAAGAGTTAACGCTTATAAGTTATTGTTAAAGGTTATACACTTTCAGTTACAAGATAGGTAACTTAAGAGTGCAGTTGATGAATATAATTAACAATGTTCTCCACCTGAATTTTCTAAGGTAGTAAAAAGTGCTTCATAATACCAAAATTACTATATCACATTTTTATTATTTGATAAGTGCTTCATATACATATATTTCACAGAATTTTGTACATCTTGAATCAATTTTAAGACTGGAAAGTCATTAAGTGAAAATATTAAAATATCTCAAGTATTGAAAATGCAAAAAATAGTCAAAACAAATTTATAAAACTATTAAGAAAGCCAAGTTTCTTCTAGTCTACAAAGTCTTAAGACATAGAAACAATTTCCATATTCTATACACACATTTACCCAAATGTGAATCACTTCATGCTTACTGAATGTTGATAACTTACGTGAATAATTACTTTCTAACATTTCTTACTTTCTCAAAGTCCTCCACTGTAGTACTGTAGGTAATCAAAGCACTGAGGAGAAATACAATTTTCCACATTATATCAAGAGTTTCTCTTCCATACTTATAAAAAAAATCCATGAAACAGTGAAGGCTTTCCATGTTTATGACATTGTATAGCTTCAGTGGGTTCATGTGAACTGGACTTTGAGCATTCTGATAACTTCCCACTCTTTTCAGTTCATGAGGCATCTATGCAACTTGAATTGCTTCATATCTCTGAAGTCAAATATTATATAATCAATTTACAAATGGCTTATACTGATAAACTTTCTTTCCACTGTGAATTTGAATGCACTCCTGAAGTAACAGAACTTCCTAAAGCAGTCTCTCCATTCCTTCCAATCAAAGAATTTATCTCAAGGGTTTTTATGTGCTCTGTAAGATGAGAACTACTGAAAGCTATTTTGTAACTTTTACATTTATAGGCCTTCTCTCCACTGTGGATTCTTACATGTTTACTTAGATGTGAGTAAACAGCAAAAGCTTTCCCACACTCCTTACATCCATAGGGTTTCTCTCCAGTATGCGTTCGCATGTGAATGTGAAGGTAGGAGGAACATGTAAATGCTTTCCCACACACATTACACTCAAAGGGCTTCTCTCCAGTATGAATTCTCAGGTGTGCAATAAGATAGGAGGAAGAAGCAAAGGCCTTCCCACACTGGTCACATTCATATGGTTTCTCTCCTGTGTGACTTCTTATATGTTCGAGGAGGCCTGACGATGTAGTAAAGGCTTTCCCACATTCTTTACAATTATAGGGCTTCTCCCCAGTGTGAGTTCGTATATGTTTTGTGAGACCAGAACGCACAGTGAATGCTTTCCCACATTCCTCACACTTATGGGGTTTCTCTCCTGTGTGGATTCTTACATGTTTACTTAGATGTGAAGAAACAGCAAAGGCTTTCCCACATTCCTTACACATATAAGGTTTCTCTCCAGTATGAGTTCGCATGTGATTATGAAGGTAGGAAGAACATGCAAATGCTTTTCCACACACATTGCACTCAAAGGGATTTTCTCCAGTGTGTGTTCGTAAATGTTTAGTAAGGCTTGTGCGCTCAGTGAAGGCTCTGCCACAGTCTTTACATACATAGGGCTTCTCTCCAGTGTGAGTCCGCATGTGAATGCGAAGGTAAGAAGAACATGTAAACGCTTTCCCACAAACTTTACATTCAAAGGGCTTTTCTCCAGTGTGTGTTCTCAAATGTGTAATAAGAGTTGAGGAAGAAGCAAAAGCTTTGCCACAATGGTCACACTCAAAGGGTCTCTCCCCCATGTGACTTTTCATATGTTTAATAAGGCCTGAGGTTGAAGTGAAGGCTTTCCCACATTCCTTACACTCATAAGGCTTCTCTCCAGTGTGTGTTGGTAAATGTTTACTAAGGCCAGAGCGCCCTGTGAAGGCTTTGCCACAGTCCTTACATTTATAGGGCTTTATTCCAGTGTGAACCCGAAAGTGATCATTAAGGCATGAGGCATTTCTAAAGCATTTCCCACAAACCTTACATTCAAAGGGTTTCTCTTCAGTGTGAGTTTTTAAGTGCTGAGTTAGTGGGTAACACCTAGAAAAGGCTTTTCCACATTCCTTACATTCATAAGGTTTTTCGCCGGTGTGGGTACGCATATGAATATTAAGGTTGGCAAAATATTTAAAACTTTTCCCACATTCCTTACATTCATAGGGTTTTTTTCCAGTGCATGTTTGACCATTCCCAGCATGGCTCATAGGTGTGTTAAAAGCATCACCACACTGTACCCATTTAAAGAGTCTGTCTTCACATGTCTTAAGGGCTTGTTGAAATTCACTAGATTTGAGGACTGTGGCTGGTTCGCATGTTGTCTGGTAAGCAGCACTTGCAGCCAGACTGGTGTCTTTTCCACACTGGCTTAACTCAGGACCTTTGTCTGCAGAAGAGGTTTCCTCAGGATGCAGAGGAAAGGCTTCTCCATGCTGAACACAATCATAAATGTTTCCTCTGTTTTCAATACCTATGTGTGTCGGACTACATGAAGGCTCTTTGATGATTTCTCCAGGTGGCTTAAAGTCACAGAGCTCCTTTCCATTGTAGCTATTTGACTGTTGATTAAAAGGAAGTAAGATATTAAAACTTTTTCAAATTTATTAGTATATCTTACTCATCTAAGATAACATGATGATGATGATGTTTCCCATTATAATTACATATATGTGACTTAATGTAAATTTAAAAAAAATCCTATTGCAAAGATCTTATGCCATCTACTCTAATTCTGAAAGTTTTCCTGTGTTTTCATGAAATTGTTTTAAAAGCCCAATATCTATAAGTAGGAATAAGTGTTTATGGGAACTCAAGTTCCAAACTAGGATTAGAACATCTTTCTAGACTCTATGAATATAGGCTATTTCTCTCTAATACATCTTTCTTTTGAAGAATTTTGATGAAATTTACATGAAATACCCAGTATATTTCAATGAAGAAAATATGAAATATCTCTTGTGACTCTTACCAGTTGTGTCTCATTTGACATTTTTAACTGAAACATTGTCCCTCTAGTGTTAAGCCGCAGAGCCCATTCTGAAGTTAAACAACAACAAACACATGTGAGTGCATCCGCAGTGAAACAGAAACACTAACAATTATACAACTCATTTCTATTTGTTTTTATATTAAGCAAGTTAAAAACGAAGTTATGTTAAATGTTAGCAATTTGGCTAGCTCTAAAGTTTTACAGGCTGGGATTCAGGCCCATGTCAGAATAGAGGGGGTCCTAAAGGCCAGAGAGATGGCTCAGAGACTACAAACACTTGCTGCTCTTATTCAAAAATAAATAAAACACCCAGATTCAGTCCCCAGCAACCATATCAGACAGTTTACAACTACTTGTGACTCCATTCCAGGAGACCTAATACCCTCTTCTGGCCACCACAGGCATGTGTGCATATGGCACACATGAACTCACACAGGCCCATAGTCATATACATAAAAATTAAAACAACTGGGCAGTGGTGGCACACGCTTTTAATCCCAGTACTTGGGAAGCAGAGGCAGGTGGTTCTCTTGTGAGTTCAAGGTCAGCATGGGCTACAGAGTAAGCTCCAGGACAGGCTCCAAACCTTATCTCAAAAACAAAAACAAGAAAAATTAAAACAACAATAATAAATATTTTTAAAAGAGGCCCTGGATCCAGTAGTCAATAATAATAATGACAATAATATAAACGTAAAATACAAAGAGAATAGGCAGTCGAAATTTAAAAATGAGTAATTTACTTACTCTGAAATTTAAATGAACTGGTAAACAGAGACAGCATTTTTGGGGAGAAAAGAAGGAAAGATCTGGACTATTGAGATTGTAAAAAAGTCTACGTAGATGGAAGTAATGAAGTTTAGAGATATGAAGATCTCCTAAAACTCTCAAGTCCAATAGCCTCAGCCTCCTGATTCAAGCTTTCCCTTCTTTGGGAGAGCACTTGCTTAGCTTACCATGCCATCCACAGAATTGGGGTGGAGTGGGGTGTTGCTACTGTATTCCAAGTAGACTGAACTCCTATTTACCTTGATGAACTCCTCTCTCGACTACTCTATACTCTTCTGTCTCCAAACAAGAGCTTGAGCTGGGTTTGATGAGCTGACATCCTATATGAGAAGAAAGACACATTCATGAAAGCAGATCAGGCAACAAAGGATATACCTTTCTATGACTTAGAAACAACGGTTCCAATAACAGCAATGAAATACTGCTAAAGGCCCCACTGTGTACATAACCCTTTATGACTTCTTTCCCTTAAAGCCTAAAGTGATGGTTACAAGGACAAGACAAAAACACTAACACTGAACCAGTGGGACAGTCAAAAAGTAAAAATGCTTGACACTAAGAATGACGACCTGATTTGCTTGTCTAGGACATGGTAGAAGGAAAGAACTGACTCCCACAAATTGTGTACTGACTTTTAGATGTGCATTGTGACAAAGAATAAATGTAGACATTCTTAAGCACTAATACTAATCAAATTGAAAAGAAAGTGAAAGAAAATTTTTTGAGACTGGTTTCTTCACTGTGTGGCTCTAATTGGCCTAAAATTTTGTAGACCAGATTGGTTGTGAACTTAGAAATGTGCCTGTCTCAATTTCCTGGAGTACTAGATAAAAGGCATGTGCCACCAAATCCACAAGATCCTTGTTATTATAGAGAAAAAGATTACACTAGTAGTTAAATATTTCAGTGTATCAAAATCACATGGAGGGACCATTAAAACAGAGATGATCAGAATACCAAACTAAGTATTCTTGATTCAGTTGTCGAAGATAGTCTGAAAAGCTCCTTTTAGTAGAGCAGAAGAACAATATTGGTGATTTTAGGACTGTCTTTAAAACCACCACAACTGATTAAAATATAGTAGGGCAGGGTTAGAGGCCTGTTTCTCTTTCTTCTCTTCTCTCTCTCTCTCTCTCTCTCTCTCTCTCTCTCTCTCTCTCTCTCTGTGTCTCTCTCTCTCCCTCCCTCCCTCCCCCCGCCCCGTTTTTTGTTTTGTTTTGTTTTGTTTTCAGATAGAGTCGATGTAGTCCTGGATGTTCTGGAGTTCAATATCTAGACCAGGCTGAACTCAAATACACAGAGAACCTCTTGTCTCTGTTTCCCTAGTACTGGGATTAAAGATGTTTGTTATTGTCTATTCCTCTGTTATTTTCAATTATCCTTAGAGCTGCATAACCAATTCTAAAAAGTAGAAAATTCATAGGATTCATAGGTGTGATAGCTCAGCAGGTAATGATGCTTGGTGCCAAGTCTGACATCCATAGAACTCACATGATAGGAGATAACTCCCAAAAGCTGTCCTCTGAACTACACACACACACACACACACACACACACACACACCATAAAATAACAAATGTAATTAGAAAAATACACATATTTTTGTTCTATAAGAGTCTACAGGGAATGAGGAGAACCTCACCTATTGTGGCCAGGTTCTGGTAGTTCTCCAGCATCACCTCTCTGTAAAGGTTCCTTTGTTTTGTGTCCAGTAAAGTCCATTCCTCCTGGGTGAAGTCTATAGCCACATCCTCAAAGGTCACAGACTCCTACAATCACACAAACTTGGATTTGAGCCAACTAACATCTCTATCCAAGGTCACAGAAAATTGAAGATAGAAATTCAATTACGAAGAGTTGGGAGTTCTCCAGCAGTCTATCCAAGAGTTTAATGAAGAGCCCAAGGCACTCTTTATATCTATCTCACTATTATTAATTTTCACTTTTACATCTTAATTTTAAAGATAGGTTTGGCCAGAATGGCTGACCCTAAACTCTCTATTTTCCCACCTTTACCTCCCCAGTGCTAGGGATAAAGACATACACCATTGTGCCTAGACTCCATCCTATGTCTTTACTGACACATCCCATTATCTCACCCACAACTAGACCAGATATTCTTTCTCATTTATTTCCTTCTATTTAGATGTGTTAAATACACTGCATACACTTGACAAATGGCAACAGCTGAAAAACATCTTTCAGAAAGGGAAAGATTCATCTCCTTTATCAACTGTCAGAACACAATAAAATCAAAAATACATAATCAGTGTCATGAGTAAAGATTAATCACAAATTACTGAAATACTAGGATGATATTCACAGTAATCCTAAACCAATATAAAAGTTTAGTTTTCTCATTGACATGCTATAATATATGACAAGAAGCAACTTCAGGAAGAAAAGATCTATTCTGGCTTACAATTTGAGAAGATATAGTCATGAAGAAATACAACTAATCACTCAGTCCTTGAATAAGGTTTTTATTTCCTTCCAGAAACTCTGGAGAAAAAATCTCTGCCTGCATGGAAATGTGTCGGCCTCACGGGTCTAATGGCAGGATATACTTTAGTCACACCTGGTAACTACTTGTCAGGCAGTTAGACACCGTCCTGCCCATCTCTGTCTTTTCACGATGAAAGTAGCTTAGGCCCCTAGAAAATAAACCTAATAGGAAAAAAGAAATCAGAGTTATCGATAATTCTCACATTTACAAACATGGATGTCATCCTATCCTAGTTCAAAATTCCCATATATTCCAACACAGGAAATCAAAATCAATCTCCCAAGCTTTGTCTCTCTGTCTCTGTAACTTTCTCTCTGTCTCTCTGTCTGTCTGTCTGTCTCTCTCTCTCTCTTTCTCTCTCTCTCTCTCTCTCTCTCTCTCTCTCTCACACACACACACACACACACACACACATACACGCAGGCAGACACACACAACTCATCTCATCTTATTGCATCTCATTTCATAGACACACAGGGCTGCCACACAGAACCAGAGTAGTCATCCTCAGAAAAAAAGGAATGATAAGCCACACTGCCCATAAGGACAAGTATATCGGTCGTATTTTACAGGTAAAGAACAATAAGTCCTAGAAACAGGACCTATTACCTGCACATGGGTGAAAGGACTCATGAATAAAATAAAGTGGCACTCATTATCAGCAAACTGGCTTATAAAACAGGCTTCAGCAACCCTTGCCAACTTCAGTCATCTGTATTATTTTTCTTGTTGCTATGATAAAAAAAAATACCCAACAAGAAACATCTCTGGGGGCTGAAAAGATGGTTCAGTTATTAAGAGCACTTGTTGCTCTTGCAGAGGACCTATGTTCAGTTCCCAGTACCTATACAGTAATTCACAACCATCCATAACTCCAGCTTCAGAAGATCTAATGCCCTTTTATGACATCCACAGGCACCAAGCACAATGTGGTCCACAGACACACATGGAGGCAAAACACAGGTTAAAAAATAAAAGAAAAAAAAAACCTTTAAAAAAATAAAAAGAAGCAACTTAAGGAAGAATTTATTTTTGCTTATAGTTGAAGAGGATATAACCCTTAGAATATACTGGAACACTTATCTTCCAGAAACTGAAAGACACATCTGGGCAGTTCATACACTTGAGTGGCCAAGATGATCTCTCTCTGCAGAAGGCATGGCAGCAGGAGTGGGAGGCTGGCTGGTTACATTGCATCAGCAGTCAGGAAACAGAGAATGAACAGGAAATAGGGATAGGCTAAAAAACCTCAAGACCCACCCAATACAGAGCCACTTTTTCCAGCAAAGCTCCACCTCCTGAAAGTTCTACGACCTTGTCAAACAACACTACAGGCAGCACCCGTATGTCATTGGGGTAATTTAGTATTGAAACCACAGATGAATCTCTGACCTGGCAGTAATCAGAGAACCAACACCTAATCCATCTGTACAAAGAGCACATAACACATGAGCTAGACTTACCGTGGGACAAACTGATGGCTTCCATCATGAAAGGATGATGGAGAAATACACTGGAACACTCTCTTCTAGAATTTGAAGGACATGTCCAGGCAATTTATACATATAAGGGGCCAGTGGTGATCTTTCCTCTTTTTACATGGTGACTTGCATTCCTGAAGACATGGATCATTCATCAGAAAATCTTATCTATCAATAATCAGGCATCATAATTAGCTCTTTCTCTTTCTGATAGTGATATGAGCGAAAGCCACTAAGAATGATAACACATCAGCTGGAAAGATGGCTGAGCAGTTAAGAGCACTTTCTGATCTTCCAAAGGATCTGAGTTCAGTTTTCAGCACCCATGTTGGACTGATCACAACCACCTGTAACTCCAGCTCCAGTTGATCAATCACCCTCTTCTTCCTCTGTGGGTACCTTCGTACACATGGAATATACTCACACAGACACACATACAAACACACTCATAGACATAAATAAAAACTTAAAAATTAACTATCCTAAGGCATCAAGGGCTCCTATCATCAGTAGCATTTATGTTTAAAAACCTAGATTCAAGGGGGCTGGGGAGATGGTTCAGTGGACAGAGTCCTTATAACTCTTGTAGAGGACCTGGGTTCAGTTCCCAGCATCCACATGGTGGCTCACAACCATCCATAACTCTGGTTATCTTCTTCGGACCTTCATAGGCATCAGACACACAGATAGTACACACACATGCAGGCAAAACACTCATACACAAAAACAAATTTTTTTGATGAATAAAAACATCTAGATTCAGAACCAGCAAAATAACTCAGCAGGTAAAAGTGCTTACTGCTAGGCATGCTATCTGAGTGCAATCTCTGGGACCCATATGGTAGAAGGAGAAAATAAACTCTTGAAAGTTGTCCTCTGACCTCCACTCATGTTGTCTGTACCCAATCCAGTAACACAAACTCAACATATAAATTTATAAATGTGTCATAAAACAAACAAACAAGACTCAGAAAGAAAAAAGAACATGAAATTGCTCCCATCTTCTACTTAGAGATGAACTAAAGCTTTAAGCACTTTAACCCTCAATTCTCATCTGGAAAATAGCACTTCTCAATGGGAGGAAAGACATTCCTTAGAAAAGGACTTGTTTTCAAAACTAGGACAAATAGAGGGGATGCTATTTCAGGAAAAGGGGAAAGGTTAGAAAACTCCAACAGAAAATAAAGCACTACAGAAATAGACTAAAAACACTTAGAAAAACTATACAGGGCTACTTCCAAACTCAGAGATGGGAAAGTTAGGTAAGGTCTGTGTAGAGTGGGAAGGTATGTAGGCCATTTAGATGTCTGTCTTATCAGTTAAATACCAAGGAGAAAAGAAAGAATTGTTAGTCTCTAGAGATACAAGTCATTTGACTTATTTTTTTGCTATTTATAACAGATATATGATGTGGGATTCCCCTCTCTATGCTGTGAATATCATTGGTTAATAAAGAATCTGTCTTAGGTCTGGCAGGGAAGAATAGAGGTAGGTGGGAAAAACTAAACTGAATGCTGGGAGAAAGAAGACAAAGTCAAAGAGAAGCCATGTAGCCACCGCCAGGAACAGATGAGCCAGAACCTTGCCAGTAAGCCACAGCCATGTGGTAATACACAGATTAATAGAAATAGGTTAAATTAAGATGTAAGAGCTAGCCAATAAGAAGCTAGAGCTAATAGGCCAAGCAGTGATTTAATTAATACAGTTTCTGTGTGGTTATTTCAAGTATGGGCAGCCAGGAACAAACAAGTGGCCTCCCACAAAAGATATAACTGATTTTATTTAATAGTATTTTCCTTGATATATAAGAATTGCATGTTTTGGTGTATGATGTAGTATTTTAGTACCATGTGTAAAGTATGTAATGACCAGATGAGGGTAATTCAAAAACCAGACAAGAACGTTAAAAATGTGATGAAAAATCCAGCAAGGAAGTTAGGTGTGATAGTGAATGCCTTTATCCCCTGCACTTGGAAGGCAGATGGAGGCAGATCTCTGAGTTTGAGGCTAGTCTGCCCTACAGAGTGAGTTTCAGGACAGTCAAGGCTACAAAGAAACCTTTTTCAAAAAAATTCAAGAAAGAACATATTCCCAAAAAAAGCCAAGAAGGACTAAAAAATGGATTTCTCTGTCATTAGGAATGTGCCTAAGGGTAGAGAGATAGTAAAGTGTTTTCTTAAGTTGTACAGGGACCTAAGTGTTATCTTCAGGACCTATGTAGAAATGCCAGGTGTAGTGGCATGCAGTTGTAATCATGAACTAGAAAGGCAGAGAGACAGGAGGATCCCTGGGGATCCTTGGTCACAGTCTAGTCTAATCGGTAAGCTCCAGGCAAATGAGAGGCCCTGTTTCAGGAAATGGATGGCATCCCTGAAAATGACACAAGATCATTCTCTGGCCTCTACATACATGCACACACACATGGATCCAAACACAAATATGTACAGACACACAGGTACACTTAAAAAATGCCAAATCAATGTTCATACAGGATATCATTAATGTCATGTCATACCTGTGGTCTTAGAAAAAGGTCGACACAGTAAGAATGTCTTCTGCAAAGACTGATAGTGACATTGTTGTGGTACTTCAGGTATCATTTAGAAACACCAACTATGTCCCTTGAGAAACAGACATAACGAGGTTACAGAACCGCTGAAACAGGCAATGAACAATATGTTAGCCAATATGTAAACAAAGAATATCTTTAGGTGTTGACTAAATACAAGACAACCAGATGTGTTACTATACTACAGAGCCCTCATGGGCAGGCTGAAGTCAAACACTATGAGGTACCATTTATCTACTTTCAGATTTAACAATAGGCAGTCATGGCCTGTCACACGGAAAAGCCATGGAAAAAAATCATTCAAACTTTATTTCCTGTGATTTTTGTGTGTATGTGTTTTGTTTCATTGTTGTTTTTGGTTTTTTGAGACAGGGTTTCTCTGTGTGTTATTCTCCTGGGGAACTACACTTCCCAGGAGGCCCCTGTGCACAGGCGCAGAGTACAGCGTTGTCTGCCTGACTTCATTTCCCAGAAACACATGCACCCACAATCCAACGCAGACACAAAACATGGCATCTGATGCCCGTACGCTGGGGTGGCCTTTAAAAGGCAAAGCACGGTACTTTCGCTCTTTTTTCCTTCCTGTTCCCCACCGTCATGGTCCCACACGCCCCTCCCTGTAATAAAGTTATACGTGGGTTCATTTGTACCTCGTGAGTTTCTTTTGTTTCCGCAGAAAAGAACATCACTGGTGCATCAACTCGACCGGGAGCTGAAAACTGGAGCTCAGGCTTCAGGTGCCGCCTGGGCCTCCAACCTCCTCCTGGGACACGAACAGAACCGAGGACCTCCTCTACAATGACCCACGTGTTCCATCTGCCTGGGCGAGCTCCTACGAACAACATCGGCTTCTAATCGTGAGTGTCCCCTTCCACCAGCTTAACCAACTCTTTTAACCCGGGAATTGACCAGTACTCCCGGTGTTTCTAGGGTCGGGAGGGGGGCTTTCCCCAACCGCGGGCCTTCAGGGCTGGAGTCCCTTCACTGGCATTCATTCCTGGCTTGTCCCTTTGCTAAGCCCATGCCTGGGATGGCTTGGCCTAGCCAGCTCCCAGCACACCCATGCTTAGAGGCCTGAGATCTCCAGTTCTTACTTTCTCTTTTTTCATTGCTTTCTTTCTTTCCTTTTCGTTCTCACAGTTGGCTGCTATGGTGCAGCCCGCGGCCGCTGCTTTCTGAGCAATCTGCCCAGAACCAGCTAGGCCCATAGCACCCCACATGTGGACCGCAGACGCCCGGCCACATTGTCCTGGATGTTCGAGCCATCTGCATCTCGCCTTAACTGGGAATCGCTCTCACTGTAGGCTTGAGGTGCCACGGTTTCTTTTGCGGGTATTTTCACGGCCTTAGTTATGGGGGGGGCAAAACGTCTAAAACTATCACTCCAAACTCCCCACTAGGATGTCTTTTGGATGCCCTGCAGCCTCACGCTTTGATGCCTTCCCTACAGATTTCCACACTCATCCGTCTCTGCTCCAAAAAATGGCCCGAGTATACCTTAGAGGGAAACTGCAAATGGCCACCTAACAGCACTTTCGACCCCGACATTTTACGGGAGTTATCAAATTATTGCAATCGTACAGGCAGATGGAAAGAACTCTCCTATGTCTCTGCTTTCTTCTATATGGCCCTTAAGACTGACCCCTCTGTCCTTACTCACTGTTCACCTGATCACTCTCGCTCTACCCGATCGAACACAACCTCACATAAACCTTCCAATCCTAGGTCTCCGGAAGTCCCACGTAAGTCTTCTTCCAGGTCCAGTCATAAGGAAACCTCACCTAACCTTTCTCCTTCTAGGTCTCTGAAAACCTCACACAAATCCTATTCAAAATCTAAAAAAGCCTCACCTAAGCACCATTCTCCCTCTCCTGCCAGCAGGTCTCCGTCCAGCTCCTCTGGTTCTGCTTCCTCCCACTCCCCCTCTTCTCGTCACAGGTCACATAGGTCACCAGAAGCCTCTTCGGATTCATCCTCCCCATCTCCCTCCCGCTCCTGCCCTACTCTGCCTCCTCGGTCTTCCAAAGCCCTGCTGAGTTCCCCTTCCTCTCATGCCAGCCGCCTTGCTCTGGCACCTTCCTTCATTCCTCTGCTCACACGTTCGCGAGCCACCACGGAGTCTAATCCTGACCAAGCCAAGCCTGCTGCCATCCTGCCATTGAGGGAGGTGGCTGGCGTTGATGGATTGGTTAGGGCTCACATTCCATTCTCCCTTTCGGAACTCTCCCATATAGTCAAATTCCTTGGGTCCTATACGTCTAACCCTACCACTTTCATAAAAGAATTTCAATATATTACTCAATCCTATAATCTCACTTTCAAAGACATCTTTATGATCCTGTCCAATAACTTACTTCCCAAGGAACGTAGACAGGTCTGGGAGCAGGCCAGACAGAATGTGGACAAAGTTCACCAGACTCTTGCCTCCCACCCTCCTGGGGCAGAGGCAGTCCCAGACCAAGAACCACACTGGGATTATAACACTCCAGGTGGGATCTTGGCCAGAGACTGATTTTTAACTTGTCTCCTAACAGACCTCCGGAAGGCTGCCCTCAGGCCAGTAAATTATTCTAAACTCTCAGAAATTATTCAGGACAAAAAGAAAAATCCTTCTGCATTTTTGGAATGCCTTACAAAAGCTCTATTACAGTTTACAAACCTAGACCCAGAATCCCCTGTGGGCAGACAGCTATTAATGACTCACTGTTTTAATCAATGTTATCCAGACATCAAGGCCAAGCTCAGATGTTTGGAGAAAGGCCCCTTAACCCCACAGGCGGAAGTCCTAGAGACGGCTTTTAAGGTATACCATGTAAGGAATGACAAAGCTCGCAACCACTACCATGTGGTAGCCATGGCCGCCCTGCCAGCCAAGGCGACAGACTACTCCAGCCGCCCTGTTCGTGCTGTCCCCCGCCTCCCGGGGTGCGTGAGCCACCAGGTCCATGTTTCAAGTGCGGTAAGATGGGCCACTGGGCCCGAGGATACCCTAATCCCCATGGTAATCCCAGGGGACCTTGTCCAAGATGTCACAGGGAAGGTCACTGGTCTGTAGATTGTCCTTGTGTGCACAGTGGCATCGGACCCAGAGATTTCACCTGGACAGACCCTGACACTAATTTTTCCACACAGCTCACCTGGACCATTCTCCCCCAGGGCTTCCAAGACAGCCCACACCTCTTCAGCCAAGTCTAGGCCTCTGATCTGCTCTCACTGTCTCTCCCTAAATCCAAGCTCATACAATACGTGGATGACATTTTACTTTGCAGCCCATCATTGGAGATCAGCAAGACAGATACTGTTGCCCTTTTAAATTTCTTATCTAAAAGGGGCTATAGAGTCTCACCTTCTAAGGTTCAATTATCTACCACTCAGTTCCTACCACCAAAGAAGAAGTTTTATCGTTCCTGGGAGTGGCCAGCTTCCTGCGTTCCTGGATCCCCTCCTTTTCTCTCCTCACCCGCCCCCTATATGAAGCAGTTCTCAGCTCTCTGCATGAGCCCCTTCTCCATCCGGTTACCAAACCCTTCCAGAGACTCCAACGGGCCCTTCTCCAGGCTCCAGCTCTTCATCTTCGGGATCTAACTCGCCCTTTTTCTCTTTATGTAGCAGAGAAGGAGGGATACGCCTTTGGGGTCTTAGGACATCAATTGGGACCTTCTTTTGCGCCTGTAGCATACCTGTCAAAGAAGATGGACCTCACCACTCGGGGCTGGGTACCCTGCATACATGCTTTGGCGGCTGCTGAGCTTCTGATTCCTGCCAAGCTCGAGGGAATTCTTCACTGGATTCACCTGTCACACCTTAAACCGTTTACTCCTCCAGCTCAAGACAATCCCTCATACACGGTAACTCAGACAGGACCTTGCTCTCTTAAGTTCCAGAGGACACAAGAAAAATAGAGTTCCTATCCTTCACTCAACTCCCTTATGCCAACATATTTTCCTTTCTTTTCTTTTTCCTATATGGAATCTCTCCAAATACCTCCAATGTCATGTTGAAATTTCCAAATAACCACTCAGCTGCTCTTACAGGAATCATCAAACATGGAGCCAAAGATTACAAGCCCAGGTGGTAAGCAAAACCTTAACGGGTCCCTTGACATGACAGGTTCGACATTGACTGCAGCAGTATCCCCTGGATGTTGAGGCAATCCCAAGATAAAAAATTTATTAAGACATTTTCTTTAAGCTCCAGGGAGCCAGCTTGACCCACCTAAACGGAACAGACTCAAAACGGATTAAGTATCATTTAATTTTATTTTATTCCCCCCCACCTCAAATCTCCCCTTTAATTTTTTTTTCCTCTTCTAACGTGACTTGTTTTCCAGCTCCTCAAGACCTAGAGAGATGCGGTTTCAATCAGCCATCACAGGACACCAGCGGACAGGATGCGATCACCAGGATGCATTGGACACCCCAAACCCCTCAATGCCCACAAAGTCAGCAGGAAGCAGTTATGAGAGACCGGGCTATGCCTTCATTCCCTACCCATTAAGACCCTCAACCCTCCAAGTTTTTAACAAATCAAAAAGCGTGGAATGTTATTCTCCTGGGGAACTACATTTCCCAGGAGGCCCCTGTGCGCCTGACTCGGAAGACTTCATTTCCCAGAAACACATGCACCTACAATCCAAATTTGCGCACGTACGCTGGGGTGGCTTTTAAAAGGCAAAGCGCAGTACTTTCGCTCTCTCTTCCCCACCACCACAGTCTCACATGCCCCTCCCTGTAATAAAGTTGCACGTGGGTTCGTTTGTACCTCATAGGTTTCTTTCATTTCCGCAGGAAAGAACATCACTGTGTAACAGCCCTGACTGCCCTAACACTCATTTTGTAGACTAAGCTAGCCTGCCTCTGCCGCCTAAGTGCTGGAATTAAAGGCATGTGCCACTACGCCTTTTTAACTTTAAACATTTCTATTTATTTTGTGAAAGCAGGGGCATGCACACCACAGTGCTCAAGTGGAAGTCAGAGGACAAGTCAGTTCTTTCCTTCACTATATGAGTCCATCGGATTGAATCGCCAGGTCATTGATCCTAGCAACAGGTGTCCTGATCTGTTGAGTCATATTTCCAACCCTACTTTTAAGTGTTATAACCAGATATAACTTTTAGGTTGATTAGGTTCTAATTAAATTTTCTTAGTACTTTTTTTTTTTTGGACAGGAGATGGTCTCATTATGAAGCCACAGATGACCTCAAATTTGCTATTCTTCTGCCTTAGTTCTCAGATGCTGAAGTAACAAGCTATTGTATACCACCAAGCCCAGCTCAGACTAACTATTGTAATTAGGGTCCACATATCAAGGTGTCTTAGTTAGGGTTACTATTCCTGTGATGAATCACAAGGCATTTGTTTGTTGAATTTTTAAGACTTACTATTTTTATATGTATGGGTATTTTTTCTGCATGCATGTCTGTGGGTTACATGCATACAGTACCTACAAAAGCATCAGATTCTCTGGAACTAGAGTTATAGATAGTCAAGTGATGCTGAATAAACTTGAAGTAATAATATAGATACTATAAATGATTTACTAATAGGTTTTGCTTAGGTAACAGTAAGTCACACAAAATAGAATTTAGCTAAGGGACCCTGCCTCCAAAATACCCCAAAGATAAGTACTATGTTAATGAGGCCTGTTAGAGATAAGAAAATGTAAGCCGCTAAAACATAAACATTTGTTCACCAGGAGTAATCATCCATTAGGTTTTCTTCCCATAACAAAAGAGACAACCCTGAGGGACAACACATCCGTAGGACCAGTCTTTCCCAAAGAAGGAGTTACTCAAGGGCAGTGCAGGGTGAGACAGCCATTCTTAAATCCTGC